AAAACTAAATAAAATACAGTAAAGACATTACTGTCCTGTAAATGCAATTACAGTACTAATACTGTAAACATTTTTACAGTAAATTACTGGCATCCAGCTGCCAGTAAGTTACTGTAAAATTTACAGCAACCTATTTACAGTGTACTGATTGGTTTGTCATGACATTTTAAAGACTATCGCAAGCAATTTCACATTTTATAAAACTTAATCTATATTAGTTAGCTAGATAATGTTATCAGCTGAATTAGCGATATCAATGAACATAACATTTTCAATGCAATTAACGATGCACTGGCCCAAAATGTTACAGTTCTGTCATCTGACCAAGATGAAACTCTCACACCGAGCCATGTGTTAAGACATCCTTAATACTGAGCCAATCACATATTGCTGTATTTACAGAACATTGTACTTAATATACCTGTCCAAAACACCTGTCCGAAAGTGCTCTATGTGCATTATTGTATTTGTGTTTTGATTGTAAATGGCCTTTACCTTCAGTATATATATATATATTTATTTAATAGTTTTAAGGTTTTGTGATTGTATGTACATTTTCCACTTCCTTCCGTGTTTTTTGTTGTTTTCTTTATTCCAAAGCATTCGCAGACGCGTTTTAGGTTCCACTGCGCTGTGTAAACATCCATTTCTCAATGCAAACATGCCATAAATGGACGTTTTTTTTAAAGACGCAATGTCTAGTTAAAATAAGTTCACACTTTAAAAATGCGACTAGAAAAAGCAGGCAGCACAAGATCTGTGCGAACGAAGAATTTTGCAGCTAATGAAGTTTTCTCAAAAGTTACTTTTATGACCAATGAGACAACAGAGACATGTGATGTGCAAAGAACATCAAGGTAAATATTTATCTAAATCCTAGTTATGTAAGTGGTGAGACAAGGAAGTCATTTCATTCCAAAAATGTTGTTCTCATCACAGTGTTCTGTTAAACACAAAACATAATTTCAGAAATGGAAATGGCTGTGTTGGAAATGTTCACAATGTTTCAGAAAAATGACATGATGCATCTAGCCTACTTTATACACTGATGGATGTTGTTAGTGGATAAATTAAACAAACTAGTGAAAGTTTGAGAGTTTATTTTTCTAAATGTCCACAAGGCCAAAAGTGCCCACAGAAGAAACACCAATAAACAACCTGTGTCTAATTAGCCAGTTAGTAAAAGTAGGCCTTAGATTTTAGCAAATTGTGAATTATTTATTTGTGCTAATAATAAATATACTTCCAAGCCACTTGCAAAAATGGATTTCTCAGTGCTTTTTATCAACTGTTTATCAAATGCTGAGGCATAGCAAGGGTTATAACTTGGAGAGGCATGTCGAAGTTCAATGTGTGTCTTTCAACAAATCAGTTAAGACTAATGGGTGAGCCTCACATTACTTTATTAATATTTATGAGCAAATCTGATGAAACCTGTTGTGAGTTTACTGTATTATTTTACACAAAAGGTTTGTAAGTGTTTTTTCTCATCACTTCAATTCCTTGATTTTGTTTGTCCTTAAATACATCCCACAAAAGAGCACAAAACTTTCAAAAATGCATCCAAAATTGAGGCTCTGTGTGGACAGTAACACAATCATCAGATTTTGAGTTCAACTTATGTACCTGGGAACTTTTCCAGAGTTCAAAACACTGGAGGAGGAGGTGATGAAAACATTAGTAACCCAGAAAATGATGAGTAATATTTTCAGTGGCTGCACGTCCCCGTGTGTGCAAGTAGCCTCAGGTTGATAGCAGATTTTGGACACAAAGTTCAAGATGTAATTGAATATATTTCTTTGAATTGAATAGAACTAATTTTGTGTATTGCACACTATTTTTTACAAGCTGCCCTCTGGATATGCTGTGCAGTATGAACATTTTCAAAGAGCACTTGTCAACCGTGACTCATATCTGCTCGGTATTAATAACATTTTGCATTAAGCACAGAAGTGTGACTTTCAGATTCCAGATATTAAAGATTATTCTAGAACATAAAAACGCATAACGACTCCAGAGTACTACAGTAATATAAAACTCCAATTGTGTAAAGTCGTGACTTTAGCATGCCAGATGAACAGTTTATTCCGATTGAATATGTTGTGTGTCTCTCGTTAACAACCATGACCATATTCTACATTTGAAAAAGCACTGAGAAGCTTCCACTCCAGCCTGCTTCTTGCAAATGCTAGTTGCCTAGCAATGCAATCGCTGATTTTATGGTCTGTGAAGTTCACAAGAGCCAGAGAGAAAGACACAGACTGAGAGAGAGAGATATCGAGAGACAGCGAAAGAGAGAGAGACTAAATGGATAAAGAAAGACAGAGAGCGACGGGGGTGGGAAAGCATTTGAATATTATTTCAAGCGATTTTCTTTCAAATCTGATACTGATAAATCCAGAGAACACTGTATGACGATGACTGTATGATATGGGAAACATGTAACATATTGATCTGTTTATTTGCACATGCGGAGATAAGGTATGCTGCGGGAGCCAATCCGTCTTCATCTATAGGCTACGTTGGACTATGTGCAAGCAGTTTAGATGATTATGAGACACATGATTTAATATAGAGATCTAGAATCTGCTTCGTTCCAGGTCTGTGTTTTTGCCTTTACAACACATGAGACCTTCCGTTCCTTCCTTCTGCACATACACAGAGCGAGTGAGAGACAGCCAGGGCTCATCTTAGATCCTAATCTCCCAAGGCTCGCCTCCACGAGGAAGTTCTCTTTAACCATCCTACGGTTTTCGTCTCTTATCATTTCAGCCTCCCTGTACCACCTCAGAGAAGAGCCAAGTTCAAAGCGCCATTCAAAAGCCGCCTCTGTAAAAGAGGAGCAGGAAATCTAATTAGTATGAGCGACAAAGAAATTAAAATAACCTGAGCTGTATTCGTGGCACTGAGGTTATGGACATTGTCACGCTGCAGGCTGAATATTAAAACAGGCCTTTTCTGTATGTGACAGAAGAGCTCTGACTCAGGTGACAGAAATCGGGGTCAGTGGTTTGTCCAAAAGGGCTGTATCATCTTCCATTTAGTATAATGAAGTACTATAACCCAGGGCTTATTACATTGAGGAATAACAAGGAATCTTGGCTTTGGTTATGTGGTTATTGGACTATGAGCTGGTTTCTTACCAGGACACAATAGGACACAACTGTTTTGCAATTTACACTGCTCATACTTTACCTGGGTTAACAATTAATCCTATTCATAAACTGATGTTTCACGCTGTACATTCAGAAACCCTGGTTGACATTCTAATTTGCATATTTGTCAGTGTCACTGATTGGACGAATGAGGTACATGGCTCTAACACTGAATGGACTTTTTGGTGGACTATATATGCAAGAATAAAACAGACTCTTCTTTGCTTCAACTCCCATTTTCCATCATCATTTGGCATTTTTCCCCTCAAATGCTTATTTTCTACAAACAAATTATGTAGCTGCAAGCTCAAACCAAATATATTCTGTGCCATCTTATCCGAATTTACACTTGTTTTCTCTGCTGATTCTGTGAGTCGTTTGTTTGCAAGTGAATTATTGACATTTCCTTTTTGACAGTCCACACTTTCCAGTCAGCACTTAGGGAGACTGTAAAATCTCAGCAAGTACTGGAACAGCCACTCCGACACTTCAGTTACAGACTCTCTAGGATCTCCACAAATGCACAAGCATTGATGAGTGAGTTTTTTGAGTAACAAAAAATGTTGTGAAATAACAAATATAATTTAAAATTATATATGTCTTTGCAAAATGTGAAATGCATTGCATGTATTTTGGCTTTTGCATAAATGTATGCACGGTCACATTTTTCTTATGAGATCAGGTTGACAAAAATGTCAGGTGAGAAGGGGCTCACATGAGATATCACATGACTTCATAGGTGTTTTGAGCACAAGTGGCTGGCAAAAGTGGGATGTTGTTGATTTCCATATTTAATTTGCATCCTTTTTCTTCCTTCCTTTCGGGCTGGAAGAAAACATCAAAATAAATGAACAATGCTGCCACATTACAGGCTCGCACACAGCAGGAGTGTCACACACGCATGAATGCGTTTACAAAACTGAACAGTAATTTGAGAACTGCTACCATAGTCGAGAGAGATTCAAGAGACACTGAGCAATTAAAAATGAAGGAATGGAGAAAAAAACTCCATTTGGACTCCTGTCTTATCTCATTTTCCTCCTCCACTCTTACCTTGTCTCACTCTTTATCTCCATTGCTGTCATGTCTCCATCTCCCTCCCCACTTTTGTCCAGTTTCACTGTCCTTCTTCACTCTTGCCAAGTCTCATTCTCATCCTGCACTCAACACGCCTTTTCACTGTTTATGACAAACGACAGATGAAATCATTCATTTTCAATGAGTTCTAACCCACTGTGGTTGTCAGATCAAAAGTGGATCAGTCATTTTGGATAGAAGCATCTGCCAAATGCATAAATATAATAGATCCAGTCTGACTACACGATGTGCACCATCCTCCAAGACCTTGTTTGTGAGATGGAAATTTATATATATATATATATATATATATATATATTGTTTAACACTGTACTCACTGTAGGACATCCCATCATCCACATCAGAAAAAGAAGGTACGAAAGCTGTCACTGGGGCTTTGCACTCTACTAAAATGTACCGTTTGGGTACTACTGTATGTACCATTTATGGGTAAATTAGGTATAAATAGTGTACCTTTTGTAAATCCATTTTTTCAAAGCAACCCAATAAATACAGGGTAAATGATCTGTGTTGTAATCCTTTACTGAAGGCATAAACAGAATCATGGAAGCTTCACAGCAAAACGCTCATAAGACTGCCACTAGGGGGCGAATTGCAACAGCTGTTTTCCGGGGTCATAGATCGTGAAAAAGTAACTTCACAATCCCACTTCAATCTTGTCCTGTCTATCTTCCCCTAACAAGATTCTGCATTGATTCACCATCCCTTTCAAACCTTCTTTCCAACTCTGTTTCACTGCTTGAGCACAAACAGAAAGCTAAAATTAGCAACTGCAAAGCAAATCTGCAAAGCAACCTTTTAAAGATTGTCTCCAGTAAAGTTAAATCATTAGCAACCTAGTTCAAGATGGTGTGATGATATTTAAATCATAAGATTCGCTTTTAATAAAATGCATCATGTAAAAGTGAAACCCGACAATGAAGGTTTCTCAGTGGCAAAGGAAAAACTGCAGCTATCAGCTGTGATTTTTTTTTTTTTTTGTCACAAGATTAAACACTGCACTTTGAAAAAGTGTGTCATTGCCAGCTGGTGATTTCAGACTGATCTCCAGCTTAGATGGTGCATTAGTCACCTATGACCTTCACACACCTAACATCTTCAGATCCACAAGTGTTCTTTAGTGGCTGATTCCTTCTTTCTGTCTGTGTCTGCCTGAGGTTTTTTCTATATATGCAGACTGAAATATACTCAGGGATACACAGTACTACTTATCAATCAGAGAATGTGAACAAACTCAATCTCTTGAACATCAAAACATAACGCACGTACCTGTGTTTGATCTTTTCTGGCATCCCGATGTTGCTCAAATCGTTTCATGTCTAACAAGAAAGATCTAATTTGACATTCAGAAATCTTTTTAACAGACATTCATGATGTGTAACAATAAAAAAATGTGCATTTAAGGTTTTGTCTTTGAAAATGTAATTGACGGCAAAAAGCATCAACAATAAGAAGCATTTTGTCAGCTGTAAAAAAGCAGAAGTTTCTTTCCAAAGCACAATATTTCTGTAATGATTTTGTGAGCAGTCTGCCGAACCCCAGCTAAGAGGATGTGGGACATGAATGTTTTATCGTCGTGAGCTTGAAATCACATCACATGCCAGCGATGCGTGCCTCCACTTTGGAGAATTACATAAATGCAGTAAAAACATCTTCATGCTAGCAAGTGCAGGATGAGGCAAAAATGAAGAACATTTCACCAAAATGTAGTCTCTGCTCCGTAATGACATGTTCCTCTCAGCGAAACAGATTGAGCCTGCCCCGTCTGAGTGGGTCATTATATATTTAAAATGCCATGTTTTTAGGAGAGGTTCTCGTCCTAATGACATTTCGAGGTGGGTTAGGAGCTGTTAAATTCTAATCCTGTGAACTGGAGCAGATTAAGACATCCTACAGATTGCCAGAGCGAACAAACACTATTGGTTTTAACAATTAAGGATCACAAGGATGCTTGTTGTCATGGATATAAATGGGAATGAAGTCAATGTTCCTCCAGGAAGGGTACATTATAGCATTAACATCATTACAACCGGTTCCAGGCAAAGCTTCACTTAGATAACTTTATGAAAACCTGTCACTGCAGTTTGCGATCCTGTTGACTGTCCTTTGATCCTCAACACCTGGAAGTCATTGTTATTCGGATGTTACACCTGTGACACATTCTGTCTGGTTCAAATAGACGTGTTGTAACACAAAAGTTGGAGTGAGCCCTTCTCCGTCGCATCAGCAGTTGCCATGGTGACAGTGCACCTGCAGGTTGAGGGTGAATCTGAGGGAAACAGTGCAGGCCTTTACATGTGTCATTTTCTCTTACAGAATATGTAAGTGATTGGTCGAAAGAGGCTTACAGCTGACCTCAGACATTCTCATAGAGTTTCTAGCAGTGTTGTGGGAATTATGACGCCGCTGGGATTTACTAGAATCTTCGGCAGATGTTACAATGCCAGGAAAGCAGCAAGGCAAAAGGCGATTTTTGCTGTAACTGCATCCAGACATCATCAACTTCAGTGTTTTTCTCAGACTCATCTGTGGCAGATGTTCTACAGAAGCCGATGTGGAACGTGTCTCAGCCTCAGACGACATGCACACGGACCACCAACTGTCTGTTCGCTCACTGTCTGATGCATATGCAACACAAAAGTGGCAAGTGCTGACTGAAACCACTACTTCATATCTGTTTGGCTGGCTTTCCATTTCATATTTTATTATTTAGTTATATATTATTATATAAATATTATTACCATTTAAAATAACTGTTTTCTACTTCAATATATTTTAAAATGTAATTTAAAAAAAAAAAATTCTGTGAAGAAACATTTCATATTATTATCACCGTTGAAAACAGTGCTGTGTATGTAATATTTTTGTGGAAACCTTACATTTTTCCTTCATGAATAGAAAATTCAAAAGAACAGGATTTATTTAAAACAGAATTAATTTGTAACCGAGTAAGAATCTTAACTGAATAAAAGGAAAGAATCTTAACTGACCCCTGCAAAACTGTTTTCAAAATCTATTCAAATGATCCACACTGTATATTATTTATTTTTAATACTTTTTTTATAGATTTGTATGTTTAATAGTATATTCATTTCATTATTTATATTACTATATAGTATACTTTTTGATTGGTCGCTGTACATGTTGGTCACATTATCTATTTCTGTCAAACTTAAAACGAATAAGTCAAGAAACAGAAATAAGTAAAAGTCTGGCTATTCATTTTTATAAGAATAATGGTACCCATCTGAACCCATTGCTTTTAATGGGTGAGATTCAAACCTGAATTTCACATATGGGCCCCAAGGCTTAGCATGTCAGAGCACATGTTAACTGCCAGACCAGAACACTGACATTTAAATCCATCTTGATTGGAATTCTCAGAACTGAAGTCAAGCTTTTTAGGTTGTGCTTCCCTGTCACACCACATTAAAATTACATAGGAGAGTTTAATTATTTTCCTGAATTTTTAAAACTAGTTGTCATATTGTATTACTAGGCCTTATTATATTATTGTATCATCTCTGTCAACATATTCATGTTATAGTGGAACATATATAATTCACAGGTATTCACTGAGGTCCTAGACTCAACTTCCAGCGAGTTACATGTCAGACATCACCAGAATCAAAGCTGGCAGTTTCAAAATGGGTCAGCCAATCATAAATTACCTCTCCAGTAGAGCTCCTGAAGCTTTTCTCTTACAGGTGTATCTGAGGAAACCGTATGGGCCTCAACACATGTTTCTTAATGATGTGTTGGAAAATCCACAAGGGGAAATGGTTTGTGTTTTATGTAGGAATGGGAATTGGGAGGAATTGGGAAGAATTTAATGATTTGGGTTCCAATTATTCGGTTCCACAATTGTAGAGTAGAGTAGTAAAGCAGGCTACCTGCAATTACAGAAATGCAATTTCATTGTTAAATGAGCAATAACATTAATGTATGTATTATTTAATACAAATGACAAAACCCATAATCTACATTTTTATATGCATATGTTGTTATATGAACAACACGCCAAACCTGGCTCATCTGGAGTGTTTGTTTGGAACCTGGTGCAGTTTCTTCCTCCGTTTTCTTTTCCTGCACCTAAATAATCGGCCCAAGATCGCCTGAATGAGGTGGTCTCAGCCAGATTGAAAACTAACTCTGGAGCATTTCGATTGTGGTGAGAAAGCAATCCAGCCCAACAAATCAAGCTGCATCATAATCTATAATGGGAAATGTGTTACGTAAAAAGCTGCAGTGTTTGATTCTGTGGGTGAGCACATTAGTTATCGTAGTTGAAAACCAAAGAGAGCTTCTTCATCTTAAACTGTTGTGTAATTACTCTTCTCCGAAACAGGTGCATTACAAGAATGTTGTCCAGAAGAAGCCTTGATTCCCGCTCTAACTGACTTACCAGTTAGAGCGGGAATCAAGGCTTTGTCAGGACAGCATTCTTGTAATGATGCCTACATTCACAAAAAACCCGCAGAGCTAACTTCTTGATGGATGAAGCTATGAAGAAAAAGGTGTACTCTGACCAATGAGAGGACAGTTTTATTCATATGCGAGATGCATCTTGCATAAACACATTTTGGAAATGTTGCCTTGTGAAAGCGAAACTGAACCAAGAGGAAAATGCAACATTGTAACAAGTCCCTGTTTTGGAAAAAAGCAAACGATATACAGGTCTGAAAACAGCCGTGCTCTATGGGTCTGATTCATAGGGTCTGGGTCTGATTCACTTTTAAAAAGAACCGGTTTATTAAGAGTTGTTCTTTCAGGGATGGGACTACAAAGCAAAAGGAACAGTTTGTTTTTCAACCATGAATACTGGCATCTTAACGTCTGGTATCAGAAGCATTTTAGTGGATAAGAAGTATCAGACTATTTTAATAACAGTCATTTATAAAATAAATAAAAAAGTCATCAATTGCAAACCCTACTCAAAATAACTCTTTTTGGTTATTCTTTTATGCAGACTAATTAACACAGGTAAACATGGGACTTGTCTCTTCCAAGATGGCGCCGACTCTTGTCTCTTCCAAGATGGCGCTGACGCTGATGGCTGCCTCCGTGGCGTGCTCCGCAGTTGTTTTTATGTTTTTGTTAGTTTGTGGATACATTTTGTAATATCAATAATAATTTTCCATATTTCTTTCACGTTTCCTATTCACATATTTAGATCTTAAATACCTAAGACTATGTTACATTTACACTAAAGCCAGTGTCAGAGGACTGACTGTAATAATAATAATAATAATTAATAATTCATTACATTTATATAGCACTTTTCTAGGCACTCAAAGCGCTTTACATTGTCAGGGGGTATCTCCTCATCCACCACCAGTGTGCAGCATCCACCTGGATGATGCGACGGCAGCCAGTATAGTGTCCCCGTCACTACACTGGGGCGTTAGGACCCACACAGACCACAGGGTGAGCACCCCCTGCTGGCCTCACTAACACCTCTTCCAGCAGCAACCTAGTTTTCCCAGGAGGTCTCCCATCCAGGTACTGACCAGGCTCAGCCCTGCTTAGCTTCAGTGGGCAACCAGTCTTGGGCTACAGGGTGATATGGCTGCCTGCCTGTAAGCCAATGCAGAGGTGTGTGATGAGAAGCCAGTGTGAAGACAAGACAATTTATCACCGTTCATTACCTCAGTACCTTGAAAATTCGGATAAACTGAAAAGTTGTCCGAAAACCCACTTTAGAAATTGGGGTTATTTAGATTTAGTGTTGTTTTCCACTTTGAAAATAACATTTAGAAACTTATGTCTTACACAATTCAATTTCTTTCAGTCTTTCAGTCCATCATTCATTCTTAGTGAATTCCCCCTGAATGTACTTATCTGCCAATTTCTGCAAATATATATAGAAAAGCAATAAAATTGCCAGTGTTTGTAAGAGCCTCTTTCTCTTAATCCAAAATGGTTGCATACTTCTTTACATTGTATATTCTGTCAGTTGCTCTCTTTCTTTGTCTCTGGATCCAGTGACCTAAAAAAAAATTAAGGGCAAACAGGACAGATCGACAGTGTTTTATGTGTTTTCACCTCAGCAGGACACCCCATGGTGCAGAAAATACTTTTTCTAATTAGACTTAGACCCTCAATGGCTCTGATTTTGGCCTGAGAAAAGAAAGAGCAATGCCAGTCTAATTGTCTGGTGATGCAATGTTTTAATTAGATAAGTTAACAGGCAGGCAGTATTCTCCACCGGCGTCCCCATCATTAACTATATTCATTATCCCTACGGCTGCAGTGACGATTGATCATGACAGATCACACGGGAGAGACTCAGGCCGGAATCCAATAAGATCCAACGTCC